GAGCCTGGTGGAGCCAACCTTCCTCCGGGCGCGGTGCACCCAGTGGGGGCCGCAGCTCTGGCAGCAAGGGTGGTGGCAAAGGTGGTGGAAGGGGAAGCTCGAACCGCTACGGCAACCGAGGATGGTGGGCCGGAGGTGCTGCCGGACTGGCATACTCCTCCCGACTCGGCGAGCGTGCTGGGCAGCCCGCCCTCACGCTCCCACTGCGTGGCCCGGGTGGCCACAGAGTGGCGCCCGAGGCCCCTGCCGTTTCTTCTCGCCCCGCTGTCTCTTCCGGGCCCTCGAACCGTGGTGGGTTCCTTGGGGCCGTGCGCTCGATAGGCGCTGCGGTCTCCAGCTGGGCTCTCTCCAGGAGAGCGCGCAATCGCGCAGCCCACGCCACAACGGGCAACATTGGATGGAAGATGGGTTTGGTGGCCGCTGCGCTGGCGCCTACCCTCTTCACTGTTGAGCGCGGTGCCAGAGAGGTGGCACACGTGAGCCTCACTGCAGTTGCCACTGCGGCGGAGGACCTCATCGAGGAATCCTCTGGTATCCTCGTTCGGGGTGTCCGCGTGGTTGGCTTGACGGCCGTCGTCCTACTGTGGACGTTCGCGGCCGTAGTGCTGTGGTGGGCCGGACGTGTCGCCACTAACCGGCTAATGCACGCCATGAACGGTAACCCCTTTGGGAATGCTGTTCTGGTGTCGCTCGAAGGCCGGGAGGCTGTCTTTGAGGTTGCATCAAAGACTAAGGCCGGAGCACACAGGGTTCTTGTGAAGGTCGGGTCGGGCGCGGACGGCGCAGGCTGCGACTGCAAGGCATTCCTCAACGAGGGACGTTGTGGTCACATAGAACGCGCTGTTGAAGCTGCGGGGCAACTCGTGGCCATGACAGGCGCGAGCGCTGCCCCAACGCTGTCCGTCGCCCCGGCCGCGACTAGACGCGCCCGTGCGATCCTCGGCGCGCCGGCCCTGGAACAGGGGTGCCTTGCCGGCATGGTGTCGAAAGCGAGATCGCTCTCTGAAAGAGCTCGGAATGTCGGGAACCCGTCCGAGGGTTGCCTTGACGGCTTTACCAAGCTCAGAGGCCGCCACGAGGTGGCCACAGTGTCGGCGCCTCCGACAGAGACTGTTCCGAAGACGCCTGCAGCGGAGGCTTCCCGCCAGGGTACCTCTGCGGCGTCTCCGGCTCCGACAGCTCCCATGTCGAGCCAGGCACGGCGTGTCAGAGACTTCCCGATCCCTGACGGCTTCGAGCGAGCCGGGGTCAAGTTTCTGACCCTTCCGGAGTATCACGCTGTGGTACAAACGATGCTATCGGACGCTGGGCATGGGGACCACGTTTACGTGCGAGCCTACAGCTTCGATAGCAAGCCTTTGGTTGGAGCCCTCGTGTCCTCGCTGGAGCGAGGCGCCCGAGCCCACGTGCTTGCCGACAACTCGCAGACGAGCCGGACCAAGCTCCAGCTGCAGTCCCTCAAGGAGCTAGGGGCGGCTGGCGTCCAGGTCCGTGTCGGCAAGGGCACCTCGGTCAAGGCGGCTTACGCCGCCGAGAACCGCACGGACGTGAGCATCGGCGCAGGCCTCGCGGGCATCCACCACGCCAAGACGGTGCTCGTGACGAGGCCGGACTCCACAGTTAGCGCCGTGATAGGAAGCCTAAACTTTAGTGCTAGTTCACGGGCCAACGCGGAGGTCGGCATCGCGGTCGCCAGTGTGCTGACCTCTGAATTTAGCCAAAAGTGGCTAGATTCGTTTGGCACCGAGTGGTCCAAGGCGCTGAAGCTCGAGGAGTTCGAAGCACCTCAGCGGAACCACCGCGGGCGGGCAAAACCCTCAAATGTCCAGCAGCCCGCCGCGCAACCCAACGTGGAGCCGCAGTGACCGTGGACTAGAAGTCGCGGACTGCGCTCCGCCCTTCTAGCCACCTGTGGCAACTTCAGTTTTGGTCGCAGCACCTAGCTGCTTTCCGATGAGACGACAGGGTGGCGTATCCGCTCTACAGGTCTTTGACGGGAGCGGCTAGGGAGGCACGGTAGTGCTCCCGAAGCGCGTGGAGTAACGCCGCAGCTTCAGCTGCTCGTTTCACCAGCCCTGTGGCCGCAGTGCGGCGCAGGCTGTGTACAGTAGGAAACCAGAGCCTCGTGCAGCACAGGCCGTGAAAAACGAAGGTCTTGTGCTGAGTGCGAAGGGTTTGTAGGAGGGCAGGGTCTGTAGGTCAGTTTTACGGCCTCCGGCCGCCCGCGGAATCCTACGGCTCTATCGTGCTCTCGGCTGAGGGGCGAATGTAACTGTACATAGTCTGCGGGCTGGCTGTTGTGCTGTATGCTTTTATGCATGCTCTTCTGTAATTCGTATTCATAACATTTTTGGCTCAAGTGAGCACGGCCGTGTGTCGTTGGTAGCTTCTCGTTGCCGCGACGCAATTGCGCGCAGCCCGTCCTGGGCGGACGTTCGACCTGTCACGGTCGTTGGACTTTCTGCTTGGACGGAAAACGAGGGTGCGTGCTGCCCCTTTGGGTTTCCGTTCTCCACATACTACTACTACTACTACTACTACTACTACTACTACTACTACTTCGACTACTACTACTACTCTCTACTACTACTACTACTTACTATACTACTATTTACTACTTACTACTTACTACTACTACTACTACTAACTACTACTACTATACTACTACTACTACTACTACTACTACTACTACTACTACTACTACTACTACTACTACTACTACTACGACTACCTACTGCTACTAGACTACCACTGCTACGACTACTGCTACGACTACTGCTACGACTACTGCTACGACTACTGCTACGACTACTACTACTACTACTACTACGACTACTACTACGACCTACGACTACGACTACGACTACGACTACTACGACTACTACTACTACTACTACTACTACTACTACTACTACTACTGCTACTTAAAGCTACTACTGCTACTGCTACTGCTACTTTAACTACAACTACAACAACAACTAACTAAATCTACTACTAGTGCTAGTACTAGTACTAGTCCTACTACTACCACTCCATGATGCTACTGATTGAAATTACACATACCGAACCATCACACACATGCAAATTGCGGTTGAGTAGCAGCATTGCTGTCGTAACCTTGAGCAGCGAAGCCATCTGCTCAACCACTTCTTGCCCTTGAACAACCGGCAACGGCAGCGGTGGCGGCGGCAGCAACGGATTCGCCAGCGGCGGCATCGGAAAGCCGAATGGCACGTTCAACGGGTTCAGAGGCTGGCTCACGGGCGCTGGCTCTTGCTGCGGTCTTGCTCTGTGCTGCAGCGGCTGTTGCCGAGGGTTGAGCGGCTGCTGCTGTTGCTGCGGCGGGGCTCTCTGCTGCAGCGGCTCTTGCCGAGGGTTGAGCGGCTGGTTCACGCGTGCGGGCTCTTGCTGCGATGTTCTCTGCTGTTCTTGCTGCAGGGCTCTCTGCTGCAGTGGCTGTTGCTGAGGGTTGAGCGGCTGCTGCTCTTGCTGCGGCGGGGCTCTCTGCTGCAGCGGCTCTTGCCGAGGGTTGAGCGGCTGGTTCACGGGCGCGGGCTGCTCTTGCTGTGATGTTCTCTGCTGTAGCGGCTGTTGCTGACGGTTGAGCGGCGGCTGGCTCACGGGTGCCGGCTGCTCTTGCTGCGGCGGGGCTCCCTGCTGCAGCTGCTGTCGCAACGGCTGCCACCGCGGTGGCGGCATTTCTGGGACCTGCGGCGGTGCTGCTAGAAGCCCTTGCTGAGTTTGTGCAGCTGAAGTTTGTGGGGCTGGTTGCTGTTGCCGTGGCTGTGCCACTTGCTGCGGCCGCTGCGAGGAGGGGGGGGGAGTCTGAGGAGTTGGCGGGGCTTGTTGGACCTGCTGCTCTTGCTGTTGCTGTGCTGGCTCAGTTATTTGCATTGGCCGTCCTTTTGGCCGCGGAGTTAGCGGGGCTTGGGCTTGGTGCTGCAGCCCTGCTGGTGGTGGGCTTGCTGCGGCTGTGGCTGGACTTGCTCGTGGCATTGGCATTTCTGGTCTTGCTGAATGCCTTGGGTTTAAAAGGCTCTCAGGTGGTCTCCTTGGACTTGCTGCGGCTGTGGCTTGACTTGCTTGTGGCTTCAGTGCTTGTTCTGGCTGCGGCCTTGCTGGGGGGCCAAAGCTGACGGGTGGTCCAATTGGCTGGCGGGGCAATGCCGCAGGCTCTGGCTCAGGCAGAGGCTGGGAAGGCATGTTCACCTGTGCTGGCGAAGTTGATTGTGGCTCCACGGGCTCTGGTCTGTCCTCTGGTCTGCTTGGCTCTGCTTTACATCTGGCCACGAGTGGTCTGCTTGGCTCTGCTTTACATCTGGCCACGACCACTTGAGGAGCCTTGGCTTTGTTGAGGACCTCTTGCCGTGCAGCTCGTTGCCTGCAATATAACTCTTGCGTGCCAACTACCTGAGTCCAGCCATGGATGTGACGACTGAATAATATAATACTAATCTTTAACAAGTAAGTCTTAAAGGTTAGTTTTATTATCAAGATGCCAAGTCACGCCAAACCGTTTAAGCGTGTGTCGGAGTACGGCGCCTTCCCCCTTTTTTTTCTTCTTCTTCTTCTTGCTCCGGTCCTCGTCGCCCCCCTGCTGCTCGGGCCAGTGCCGGTGTTCATTCCACTGCGTGGCACGGTCATTCCACTGCTGATCTTGCCACTGCTCATCTTGCCACTCATTCCACCGCCACTGCTCATCTTGCCACTCATTCCACCGCCACTGGTCATCTTGCCACTCATTCCACCGCGTGGCACGGTCATTCCACTGCTGATCTTGCCACTGGTCAGCCATGGAAGCGGAGCTACTACGTGTCAGTGTCTACTCGTCTTCACTCACTCTACGTTGTAAAAAATATAATTAATTAATTATGCTTCTGAGTCTGACTGAGACAACCTGGTCAACTGCGGACGCACTGTTCTTGCTGACTCAATTCAACCTTGACGTGAAGCCAAATCTGACAAATGGTCAACAACCGCTGATTCGATTATTGATCTGATCAAAAGCCCACTGCAGAAAACCAAACCACCCGGGTCTCCTCCTGCTAGAAATCTGGCACGACGAGGCATGCGGAGGTCTGGCCTCGGTAGTCAATCTGGCAATTCACTTAGCATGAATTTTGTATATTATTATTAATTGATTTGAATTTTGTATATTGATTGATTGCCTTGGGCAAGTCTCTAACTAATGTCTAACATTTTTTACAAATGTTCTTGCCTGTTTGGAGATTGGTCCCGGTTTAGGGCTCGGAGTTGGGTCTGAGGTCAGGCAGAGTTCAAGTCTGATGGCTTCGGGCAGCTAGCAAATCGGAATCTTGCGCGGGAGAGGGTGGTTCGGTTTACACTTACGACTTACATTCAAAGCTTGCGGAAGCTCCGTATTTATCAGGGGGCGTTCGTCATCGGTTCTTACGCTCTCGGCAGGGTTAGGTCTTGCCCTGAAATTCCCACATCAAGAAACACATCACAGTCTTATTATACACTGTAACACTGACTACTCAACCCAACAACCATCAACCAATGGCCAATAATATCAGTTCAATACGACGTAACTAGTTGCTTGCTGGAAGAATAATCTTACTCTGCATTGACCCTCCTTTCTAATCTTGCGACCGCCCGGTCGGCATCCTATGGACGTCTGTTGATCTTACACCTTACTCCCTACCGTCTCTCCATATAGTGACTTTGCTATCTCTTACTCGTACGACCTCACGGCCGGCGTCCAAATGGACGTCTTGCTAATTCTTGCCGTATTACGACTCGGCTTCCCAGCCGCTGTTCTTACGACCTCACGGCCGGCGTCCGATGGACGTCTTGCAAAAACGGGCGCGACCTCCCGGTCGACCCGGCTAGCGTAAATCTTACTCCTAGACCCGGGCACGACCTCACGGTCGGCCCATTAACTCCTAACCCGAATCCTTAGGCGCTCACCCGGAAACCCTCACTGAGTACTTTGCCCGGGCTCCCAGCATCACCATGATCTTGTCCAAGACGTGAATGCTCTCTTGCTTGGGCTGGGCTTGCGGCTTCAGGAGGGCTGCATGGTGGGGTTGGTTTCTTTTCTTTCGGGTCTTTGGGAATAGGGTTCTTACAATGGACTCGGGCCAAACCCTGCAAGACTCGCAAACCCCAAACCCTCCCAACTGCAGCGAAGCCGAAGTCTTGCCCTGACTGAACCTTCCCCCCTTCCCAAAACAAAAAGACACAGCAGCACGCATGATTATGATGACGATGATGATGGTGAGTATCTATATGTGTTCATATTTGTTGTTGCTATTAACTACATTCTTTATGCTGCTAACAGTTAGTAACAATGTAATTGCCTAAGCCTCTGGCTACACTATTGTCAAGTTTGTTCTTTCGACTCAACTGTTGTTTATTCTTTCTGGTTACAAGCAGAGGGATGATCGTGATATTATTGTACTCAATCTTGCTGAAACCTGCTGATTATAAAATAGTACTATTGTTCTTGTTAGCCAGTATTCAGTGTTACAACAGGCAAAACCACGAATAATCTAGCTAAGTCAAAGTGTGTATTTAATTATTCATCACTTATACGGCAGTATGTTTTGATTAGTGTTGACATCATATCATACACAAGTTCATAAAGCTGCTTAATTATTATACAGAACCACTCAAAGAAAATAGATGCATATCCAGGACACACATGTTCTGCGTCCAAATTAAGCAATCAGGAAACTGAGTTTTTTTATTATTGATACTATTAGAATATGAATTGGGATCGTACCGGTGATAGGCAGGCCCCTGTGAGAAATAGTGTGCTGATGATGAGTTATTTAAAAATTATTGTTTAAATTGTTACCACTAGCGATAGTATCACAAATTGAATAATAAGAAATAGCTAACAAACAATATACTTTATTGACAATGGCCTGTATGGACATTGATTATCAATTAGTAACTCTGAACAGCACACTAACAAGTATTCTGCAAGTTAATTGTTCATGACAGGGTTCCCATATTATTCATCTATGACTAAGAATACAAGCCATTCAGGCTTCGAATGCAAATCTATTATACTATGAGCCATTCGTGATAAGGTTAAAGTATGCACATTATTGCTAATACTTTTTAGTTTATTAGTTTTTCACATTCATTGTAATTTCACCTTTGTATTTTTTGAATATAAATATTACTAAAATTATTAATATGAGACTTAATAAATATTTGTATTTAATACATCATTAATAATACTAGTATTAGTAATATTTAATTACTAATTTAATTAGTGTATTAGTATTATTAGTTCTGTTGTTACAAATTATATTGAAATATCAGTATCATAAGTACTAGTATTTAAATAAATTTAATATAATAATAATTTATGTAACATTAGTATTAGGATTTTATTAGTATTAGTATTAAACAAATTAGTATTAGCATTAATATTAGTATTAGTAGTTATTATTAGTAGTATTATTATATTAGTATTAGTATTATTAGTATTATATTAGTATTCGTATTATTGATATTAATATTAATATTAATTATAATTAAATGAATATTAATTAGTTATTATTAGTATTATTAGTATTAATTAATATTAATAATATTAGAATTTAATAATAAAGGTTCGAAGGAGGGGAGGTGTTCGGCGAGGGTTCGGCGAACGCCGGCGGGGTTCGACGAACTTCGGGCGAAGGGTCGGGTCTTGCCTTTCCAAAGTGTTGCCCCCTTCTGTGTTGCCCTGATACCTACTTACTAAGTCCCGTGACCCTCCAAGTATACTTAGTTATACTACTGACCTTATGGAAGGGGTTTGGGGAATGCTACTATGCTTTTTTAATGGTTACTGAACAGAAATTCCGGGTTGGTAAACTTCAAACCCTGAACCCCGAAACTTTGGGCCCTGAACCACACAAAGCTTCAACCTCCGACTGCCTACGAACCCTGGACCTGAAGCTCAAAGCCTTACCATACAGGTCTGACTGAAGATGTCTCAGGGCATGGCCTCGACATAATAGCCTAGTCCAAGTATCAAGGCCCCTGCGATAAAGCCAGACAGAATCGTTTATGAAACCTATAGCAACTTTTTCCAAATAAGCCAACTGGAACCCATATAAAGCTCCGCAAAGCCCTAGACACGAAAGCCGAACAGAAGCGGCCGCCTCGGCACGATCGATTACGATGAAGCGGATGACGTCGGCCAGATGCTCGTAGCTGCTGTGGAGCCTCAAGGTTTAGGGTTTAGGGTTTTGGGGTTTAGGGTTTAGGGTTCTGGGGTTTAGGATTCGGGATGCGGAGCAGTTCTGGTTCAACGGTTTCGCGTATAAGGTTGCTACTAGATTCCTAATATGGAAACCCTACATTCAACCATATCGGTACATAGGACGCTTTGGGAATAAGCTCCAGGTTTAAGGTTTCGGAGTTAAGTACTCAACGGGGAAAAGGAGGGACCCTTAATGGGTAGGTGAGGGTGCATGATGTATAGAGTTTAAGGGCTAAGTCTAAGTGTTGGGGCCAACAGCTTAGGCCTTTTAGGCTGTTGGGGATTGAGGGTTAGGGCCTATCAGCATACAATAATACATTACAGCCCCAAATCCAAATATCCCAGTTCGGATACTGGGCCCCTCCAGATTGCGTGGACGAGCCTAAGCCTCGGCAGAGCCCTAAACCCTAAACTCCGTAAACCCTAAACCTTAGAAGGGGCCCCAACCCTGTAATAGTGGTATAATAGGAATATAATAGGGCCCTCATATACTCCTTATAGTCACCATTACAGGGTGGGGGCAGCTTCTAACCCTACAAACCCTAAGCCCTCAAAATCCGAAGCAAAAGAGGGATGCGAACAGGGAACCTGAAACTACGCTGCGCCGTTTTCTGGGCTACTACGGCAACTGCCACAAGTCCGTGTACCGTCAAAGGACAGTGGTGCCAGCGCTCATCATCCTGAACTCATGCTCCAACATTCTGCGGCTCACGCCACTACAGCCCGGAACCCCGAAAACACTAAACCCTAGATGGCCTATACCTAGCACCTTAAACCCTCAAACCCTAAATGCCCTATGCAAACCCCACACCCCTAAGAAAATCATAGGAAACCTTCGAGCCAATGTAAAACCCTACAAGACCCTAGAAAATCCGTTGGAACCTATCACACCCTTCACTTCAATATCCAGTAAAAGGGCAACTTTAAACCCTAAACCCAAAACCCAGAACCCTCAACCCTAAACCGTGGCACAGCTGGGGCTCCAGCTCCGGGCGTGAGGCGGCTTGAACGGTTGCGAGGAGCACCTCGCCCCCAGCGCTGAGGGTCGGAGTTTAGGGCTCAGGCTTCAGGGATTAGTTAGGGTAGGGCGTTGGGTTTTGAGTTGGGGCTTGCGGCGTAGAGTTTAGGGTTTAGGGGTTACTTAAGTTTAGGTCTTGGTAATGGGGGTCAGGGATTCGGATCTAGCGGGCTTTGCGGTCACGAAATGTTGGGCATCCTGCAAGGAAGTGTTTGGGTTTAGGGCGCCGAACACCCTAAATCCTACGCCTTGATATGCCCTGAACCCTACACACACACAACCTCATACTGTAGACCCTAAACCTTAAACTTAAACCCCAAGAATTAATGTTTCAGGCACATTCATTGCATCAAGGAACCCTGCCGAATAATCATATTGTTGGTCCATGCTCCTGACAGCGGTTTGAGCTGCTGCTAGATAGGGTTAAGAGTGACAGATGAACACATACCGCTCAATTATAAACGGCGCCTGTAAACCCCAAACCCTAAACTCCAAATCCGAATGAAGCCTAGCTTAAAGTCTCAGAGCCCCAAACCACAATTTTGTTTTTTTTGGTGGGTTTACAAGGTTTAGCACAGTCAACAATGGACGGGCACCCTTTCCCACCAGCACATGAATTGTGGGCCCCGTCGCTGCCAGAAGTACAAGAGAAAACAAAGCGTTCAGGGTTGAGGTATGTATTTTGCGCTATAGTTGCAATCAAGTCTGTCAACAAGTAGGCTTTGGCTACATATGGAGTTTCAAGTTCAGGACGTTTCGGTACTAAACTACCATTTCATGCTGCACGGAAGTCCTGTAGGCCCATGCAGACTAACATTCCAGTGCCGTCGTCAGGATTATCATGTACAGTAGAAGCCTAAAAGTTGGAAACCCAATAGCCTCAATCCTTAAGAGTAATGTACAGGGAATCCCAGCACCTTAATCCGGTTTCCAACTATATGGGGTTTACTGCACCATGGACCGCCAGAAAGATCCTCCGATTACGACGGTAAAGCCTTCAAAGACCCAGCCCGGAACCCTAAACCGACACACCAACCCAAAGCCTTATGGATGGTTGTCAATATTAGCGTCCCTGTTTGGGTACCCTAAATATTAGGTGCCGTACTATAATGACCCAAAAAGGGACCCCGCTGTTGAAAACCACCCTTATAGTTAACCCAGAGGGTCCATATACACTACAATTATTGAAGCGGTCCCAAAACCATAATAGGGATGGCCTTCTGGGACCTCAATCCATAATGGTAATTAGTGTATATGAACCCGGCCTGCAGGGCGGTTGCTATGCCACGGCCCGGCTGCGCATAGCCTGACCCGAACCCAGACAGAACAATACCCCTTATTACGCCACATGGCTTACATTATTGGGGCCTACATATTGCAATTGCTTCTCCAGATACCAGACATAAATCGATGCCGAGGTTTTGATCTGCTGAAGCACACGCAGGGAAACCTTGTACCTGAGTGGACCAGGTCAAGAATAACCTAAACCCTAAACCCTAAACCCTAAACTTATTCGAGAATCCACTCGCAAGCAGACGCGCGCCAGGCATCACCCACACTCGCCGAGAGAAAGGCGCATAGAGGGCCTAAGACTAAGAGTAACCTAGGAATAAAAAGGGTTTAGGGTTTAGGGTGCCCTTTTTGGTTTAAAGGGGCTTATAAGGGAACCTGAACCCTCAAAAAAGGGAATAAGGGCCTACTCTAGGTCCTAGGGGCTATAGCACCCGCCACCATCTGCAGTGAAAGGAGAATGCAAGCGACGCCAGCGAAACCAAACAAGCTAAGAGGGATTCTCGATTCAGAGACCGCGATGGCGAAAAAATACACTCATGGAACAAATGCTCTCAGTCTAGTCAATGAAGAGGATAAACCTGGTCCATGCGCGAATAGATAGATCTATCCCCAACCTGAGAATCAAAGCTTCAGGTAGCGAGAAGCACTCTCGGAATGTACTTGGCCCATCTCCCTTGCAAAAGGCATTATGCACGGTGGAGGGTGGGTCATGCCCTTACCAGGGCCAGAGGAGAAAACATATGCACCTCTGGCGGATCCTCCGTGCCAACCTCGGCCTTCTCAATGCGTCAAATCGTCGCCGCCTCGATGGGGTTTGATGACGACTATGCCTTTGACGGATCCACCGTGCCTGCCAATGTGGAGCAAGACACGTTGTTACAAGCATTCTACCACTGCTACTGCTACCGGCGCTACTGTGTTACTGCTTACGGTCAACCATGTCGTTATTAGCCCCCCCCCCCCCCCCCCTTTCTGCTTACGGTCAACCATGTCGTTATTATCACCCCCCCCCCCCCCAGTCCCCAGTAGCCGATTTCACGGGTACGGCGGTAAACACGCCGCTGGCTAAAACAAGGACCGAAGAAGGGACCCCAGTTTTGACAGCCACCCAACTGAAGTTGTTAAGCCGTCTGGCATGACTCTACAGAGCTTTCCTCTCACAATAGCGATCCAAAAAGTCCCTACTAACTTTCACCTGAACCTGAACCTCCCTCAACCTTCCTATACCCTAAATCCTATAAACCTACATGAAAACAGTGTTGGGACCCTAAACTCTCAAGCCCAAGTCCCAAAACCCTTAACCCTAGACCCCAACACCCTACATACACCCTAAACTATAGGTCCCTAAACCCTAAGCCCTAAAACTCTAAACCCCAAAACCCAGGACCAGCCCCAAGCGACTTCCCACCTCGCCTCTGTTTGCGGCGTCCCCCTGGGCTGCGGGTCTTTGGTGACTCACAGACTCCAACTAGCTTTCAGGTTCGTCTTCCACAAGGGTTGAAGTGTCAAGGGTCTTGAGGCTTGGGCTTGGGAGTTGAAAGAGAAAAGGGTTGGGATTTCAGGTGTTTAGGGTTTAATTAGATGGGAGATGGGCTTAGGGTTCGGGATTTCAGGACTGCGGATCCGGGTGCTTAGGGCGAATAGTCAGCCCTAACCCCCGAAAACCTCAAGGGCTTCGACTTTGTAGCATTTACGGTTTTTGTTAAGTTGAGTTGACTTTTACGTCTCCCGACAGTTGGCTCTCGGGCTTAGGATGTAGGGTTTATGGATTAGGGGCCAGTGCAGAACACAATCTTCAACTTACAAGGTGACCTTCATACAAGTCAAGGTGGTTAGGTGTTGAAAAAATGAAAGTATATAAAAAAACCTAAGTCAAGATAACTAGATGTCCAAGTTAAGGGCCATGAGCTCTCTGATTTGGTTTCTTAAGGTATCACGCAGGCAGAAAACCCTAAATCCTTAACAAAAAACCCCTGAGACAACGAACTCCTCACCCCTGAACAGTGTGTTGCCAGCATATCGGCGAAGCCACGCTCCAGATTTCAACCCATCAGGCCACAGACCCTCAGCACACCTTATTCCCGGAAAAAGGTTTTATGGTTTATAGGGTTTAGGCCTTCGGGGTTTAGGGGTTTAGAGTTTAGGGCTTTGAAGAAGGTGACTATATTTGGATTCCGTTTGGCCACGCACCCTATAACCCTAAACCCTAAACCCTAAACCCCTAAACCCTAAACCCTAAACCGACTTATGGACCTGTATGTACCCGACCATAGCCATGGGCCAAGGGAAGGCTTTACATTCGGACTCAGGCCTGTTGTGCTCTTTTTTCTCTGGCTTTAGCCCTAAGGGTCCAAAGGACCCAATAGTTAGGTACTTGGGTTTAGGATAGTAATTATGCAGCTCAATATGTAGGAGAGTATATGATTATTAGGTACTTGGGCCCTTAAGATATAAAATCTTTGATCCACGGGGAGGGTGGGCAGGCTCACCTTCGCGACGTTCGGAAACTCCCATGCGCCTCGTCAGTGGAGGGGCTTGGGTCTCCATGCCGGCGCTCGCGGTCGGCAGGCGAGGTCGGCTCATCCTCCGGCGGCGTCACCGGTGGAGAAACCGGAGGCGGAGAGCTAGGCGGCTCGTCCTTCGTGCGCCGAGGGCGCTGACTGTTGCGCGGCCCGTCGCGGCTCATGCCCAATCAGACCCGGACTCAGGGCACTCTGGGTGTGGCAACTGGTGAGCTGCTGTTGCCATTCTGGCGGCGCAGCGTAAACCCTAAACCCCTAAACCCTAAACCCCTAAACCCCTAACACCTGAACCCTGCTTCGGGTCAGACTGTCAGGAATAAAAAGTGCTCCCTTTTTGACATTTGGTAACTTTACAGCGAACCTAGGACCACAAAAAGGGAATAATGGTACTACTGGGCATCCTAGCAACAGGAGCAGAGCATTGAAGCGCCTCCTTCCAAACTCGAGGAATACAGCATAACGGGACGTGGTAAGTATGTTACCTATACAGCTGTAAGGAGGATAACACCAGCTTAGGGTATTCTACAAACGCGAAGCCCCAACACCGCAAAACCCGACACCCCTAAACCCTAAAACATGGAAAGCCCTAAACCCCAACATCTAAAACCCTAAAGCCTAGAACCCTTACAACAACAAAACGAACCTTAAATACAGAGCCTCAGACTAACCCTTATGCCAACCGTGCAAAGAACCCTTAAAGGAGCCCTGTTCTCATCATCAAGGTCCCTATGTTAGATGGTGTTTTTTACATACTCTTTCTGGAACTTCAACTCTTGAGGATTTTATGTCTTGGGGATTGTTGTTTTGCTTATTTCTGCTAGCTTATTTTCCATGATGCTTTGAAGGCCGTTTCCCCGTTTGGTCCTGAGATGCTGACAGGTGAAGTCCGGATCATCTCCAAGTATTTGTCAAGAACCAGGAGCCTGATTCGAAGCCAACTGTCTGGTTCTTACCCTTAGGGTTTAGGGTTTAGGGTTAGGGTTTAGGGATTAGGGTTTTGCTGATAGCCAGCAGGGAGATCATTGAACGGCCCTTGTTCGTTAGGCCCTAAGGCCTCAGGTGCAGGCTCTTCCATGAGTCCCAAAGACACCTATCGAATTGAAATCGCACACTGTTTTTCCCTTGAGCCACGTGTTATCGAGCGTATTGTACATTGATGCTCACGCACACAGCTTCTGCGACATCGGAAGATCAAACTCTCAGCACTCCTCCTCGCGCATTGGGCTATTAGCCAAGGGGTGCCCCAACAAGCATGAGAGGCTTATCCCGATCGCAGTAGCGGCACAAACGAAGAGTCCGAGGAGGGCCTGTGGCATTCCTTTGACCGTGACATCCTGCTATCGTATGTACACAGTCCCCATTCGGAGTAGTAAAGAAGGGCCCCTCGAAGCCCTGGAGCCGTCTTGCATCTATCCAGTTAGGACCGCGAAACTCTATCTCGGTCTGGACAGCCGTAGATCTCGAAGACACCCTCGTTGATGCAGTCCTGCCCAGATTGCCTTCAGCTCCTCGTTGCCACCCGGTCGGCGTAGGTGAAAACGTTTCTCTGCTTCCTCTAGGTCCATCTTCTTCAAACTCCCCTCGGCGTCTCCTCATACTTGTAGGCGGTGTCACCACGGTAGGAGAAACAGCTTCGGCTTCACGTCTGCGTAGCTCCTCCTGAACTGCGTCACGGGTCCTGCTTCTCAACCTTTCGGTTCTTTGCAACCTTCGCTGCCTAATACTCCACCATGACCAAACCTTATTCTTGACATACTTCAGGAATTCCCATATTCCAACCGCCGCAATCAGAGAAACCACTGCAACGAAGTAGAACTCCATGGATCCATCTAACGGCAAATCTTCTTTCCCTTGGACCCCTTTGACTAGGCACAGACAGATAACCACAAACAACAGCATGCCCGACTGATTAGTCGTCCTCAAAGTTCTCAAAGCTGCCTTCGTAGCTCCTTGGATCGTGCCCGGAACAATCTGCCACAAGTCCATCAGCGTCTTGAACTTTGGCAGGTCGAAGCCCTTGGTGCCCAAATCGGCCTTTTGCAAGCTTCCACACACATGAGAAATCACCAGCCGCTGCGCCGCAACCTCCTGCCGTAAAAAGCGGGCTCGTATACGTAGGTGCCGGGTCTTCCACGTGCCCGGCGATTCGCTCGCCAAGCCCTGGGCGGCCGCATTGTCGATCCTCAGGTGCATCACTGGATCCCAGGACAGTTCTGACAAAAGAGCACTCACTCCCAGTCCCAACTGCACTGCCGCGCACCCCTCGTAGAGCTCCGCCTCTGCAACCGACAATGTGATTATTGGTTGCTTAGACGCCCTCCATGACACCGGCATACCACAAACCTGAGCCATTGTCGACCCAAACGAACGTCCTCCTCCCGGGGCGTAACTGGCGTCCGAGTACACGACCATCATCGGATCATCTTCATTGACCCTGTACCAAATGCCATACTCAACAGAACGTGCTAGGTACTTCAGGATCCTCTTGCTTATCTCAAGCGCCCTCAGAGGCCTTTTCAAGGCATGCGATGCCATACAGCCCACAGCATGTGCTAGCTCCGGCCTGCTTCGCGTCGATAACCACAAAGCCTCCCCCGTTGCCTTCTGAGCCAACTTCACTTCAGCTTCTTGGGGTGGTTCCGGTTCTTCGTCGGATTCTCCATCCTGCAGCCACTCTCGGTTGCATGGTACAGTGAGACCTAGACCTGGTTCTTCAGGGACTCCATGTTGTCGTAGTAGATCACGTACGTAGCCAGTTTGGGATAGATGCACACCTTCTCCACAAACCCGCAACTCAATACCAAGAAACCTGAGCGACCCATCCTCAGCCCATTCCAGGTCTGAACACTTCCAATCCTTCACCAACCACTGGTAGATCGCCTCAACCAAGGTTTTTTCTCCCATCATCAAGATGTCGTCTACATACACCAAAACGAGGCCTTGTAGCTGATCCTCCCCTTGATAGGTCGCCTTCCATAGGTTCTCATCGGTAGTCGTTGCTGTCAGCACCACAACCTTGTCTCCCACATGGATCACCGCATCAACGAACTTGCGATTCCTGAAGTCACCCCAAAGTCTCGGAGCCTCTCTTAAACCGTAAAGCACCCGTGTGATCTGCCACGTTTCTCCCGGGGCTGCAGCTCCGGCTAACACCACGATCGTTGGAGGAACCAGCGCATATAGAAGCTCCCTTGGCATTGGCGCCAGCGTAAAAGCATTCGCCACATCGGTGCTGCCGATCCGCCAGCCCATCTTCACCGCGATCGCTATCGCGATGCGTAAAGTGTCGGCTGAAGTACCCGACGCGTACACATTCTGTCCCTGCGCCGGCAGAAAGTTGCCGCAAACCACTACCCGGCACTTGCGACGAAACCGGGCAGGTCCTTGAGCTTCTGCTGGAGGTTTGACAGTGAATACTGCCTTTCCAGGCAGCACCGTAAGCCCACATTTCTTCAACTCGCGTGTTTGCTCTGGAGACAGACGCGTCACTGTTCCCGAGTCCATCAACGCATTGACCTCCTTGAGGATTGCCTCCTTCCATAGGTGGATGTACTTCTTGACTTCCGGCAGGCTAACGTTATGCACTACTTCAAGGTGACCATCTAAAGTCTTTAACAGCTCCTCCACTTCAACATCTTTTGCTTCGGCTGGCGAAACCTTCATGACTTTCTTCAATGCGCGAACCCGTTCCATTTCTAGGTCATGGACACACTGCTCAAAGTCCCGCTGCATTGCGATGTGGTAGGCGGAAGCTGCACTCTCGTCCGTCTCCTCCTGAAGTTCACAACGTAGAACCCTCGCCCGGTACTCTAACTCGTCTTCATCCTCCTCCTCATCGGTGGCTACCTCAGTATCACTGACCCAGTTACTCAACGGCTCATCTTCCACATCATGTACTTCAACTCCTGTACCTTCCAGTGGAAACCCACACCTATTGAGAAACGCTGCAGCACTCACGGGGATGGCCTCCGCGTTCAATGGGGTAAAAGCTGCTATGATCCATCGACCTTCATCTTCTCCTTGAACATAAGAGTGGAACTTCTTTGGGTCAAACACCGCCACTTTGTTCTTGATATCAACCACTCTTCCTTCAACCACGGTGCCATCAGGAAGCTCTTGACTTAAGTCTACACCACCAGTACCATCACCTTCACATACCTCATGAGCGTCTGACAACCACAACCCTTCTGCAGTCCTCTCGCCCACCTCCATTACGAAGTTTGGCATGCCAGGCTTGTTCCGTAGGTCACGATGAGGGGGAATATCAGCTGCCTTAAAGACTCCCAGCGTTGCCCACCTTGGCTCATACTTCGTTGTTTCCATCGTCTTTTGTCGCAGCACCATGTTCAAGTACTTGGTGAGCCAGGGTCGCCGGTAGGTGAAACGGCAGCACCGTCGCTTACGCAAAGAAATTCGCGTCGCTTGCGCAAAGATTTGCCCAGTCGCTTGCGCAAAGACGGGTGTCGAATCCATTGTAAAAACCATAGGAACGTGCACTTCGGTCTTTTTCGGAAATGGCTTCAACAAGCATGGAAAAGTGTCGAATCCATTGTAAAAACCATAGGAAAGTCCACTTTGCAAGTTAGCCGAAGTTGACGACATTTACGCGCCAAAGTGCCGAATCCATTGTAAAAACCATAGGAAAGTGCACTTGCCCAGTTGGCAAGTGCTGGCCGAAAAGTGCGTTTTGAGCTGTTTTAGGAAACATCTGACAGACCATCGAAAATGCACTTTTGGAGTCTCGAAAAGCATGTTTTCGTTGGTTTCCGGATAAGCGTTTTCAGAGCATGCTTCGGGGGCTGAAAACGGCACCATCGAAAACGCACTTTTGGAGTCTCGAAAAGTACGTTTTGGTTGGTCCTGGGGGGGGTGGGGCTGGGGGGGCGGGGTGCATGGGGGGGTCGGGTTGGGGCTGGCTTCCTGGCTGTAGTGGGGTGGGTGGGGGTCGGGGGTAAGAACGTGAGGTTTGACGCTTGCAGCAAAAGCAGTTTCATTGCTTCCATGGAAAACGTATTCTTGGAGGCTCGAAACGCACGTTCCGGTTGGTTCTTCGGGGGGGTGGGGGGGTGGGGGGGTGGGGGGGCGGGGTTGGGGGCTAAGCACGTCCGTGTTTGGCGCGTGGAGCAAGAGAAGTCGCAGTACGTTTTGGTTGGTCCCATGGGGGGGTGGGTGGGTGGGGGGTGGGGTGGGGGGCTAAGAACGTTGGTAATTGACGCATGGGCACCAGCACGTTGTTGTTGGTCCCAGGGGGGGAGGGTGGGTGTGGGGTGGGGGGCTAATACCGTTCGTGTTGGACGCGTGCAGCAAGAGAAGTGTCGCTGGCAGCAGCACGTTCTTGTTGGTTCCCGGGGGGGGGGCTAATAAAGTCCGTGTTCGACGTGTTGGGTTGGGGGCTGGTAACGTCCGTGTTTTTGTCGCGTGCAGCAAAAGAATTCTCGTTGGCCCCAGCATGCTGAGAACGTCCGTGTTTGACGAAAACGCACTCTTGGAGGCTCGAAACGCACGTTCCGGTTGGTGCTGGGGGGCGGGTGGGGGGGTGGGGTGGGGGGCTAAGAACGTCCGTGTTTGGCGCGTGGAGCAAGCGAAGTCGCGTTGGCACCAGTACGTTCTGGTTGGTCCTGGGGGGGCGGGTGGGGTGGGGGGCCAAGAACGTCCGTGTTTGGCGCGTGGAGGAAGAGAAGTCGCGTTGGCAGCAGTACGCTCTGGTTGGTCCCATGGGGGGGCGGGTGGGTGGGGGGTGGGGTGGGGGGCTAATAACATTCGATTTTGACGCTGGTTGGCAGCAGCATGTTTTTGTTTGTCCCAGGGTGCGAGGGGTGGGGTGGGGGGCTAACGTTGGCAAGAGAAGTCTCGCTGGCAGCAGCACGTTCTTGTTGGTCCAAGGGGGGGGGCTAAGAACGTTCTTTCATGTTGGTCCCAGGGGGGCGGGGGCTTGGTGGGGGGGGGAGGGGTGGTGGGCTAATAACGTCCGTGTTTTTGTCGCGTTCAGCAAGAGAAGTCTTGTTGGCCCCAGCATGTATGTGTCTTGGTCACAGGGGGGGCGGGTGGGGGTGGGGGGTTATGTGGAGGCCAATAACGTCCGTATTTGACGCTTGCGGGGATAATAACGTCCGTGTTCGACGCGCGCAGCAAGAGAATTGTCGGCACCAGTGGTGGGCTCATAGGTTTCGAGTCGCTTGCTTGCCCGCATGCAGCAAAACCGCCGCCCCCGTCGAGGTGTCGAGTCGCTTGTTTGCCCTCAAGTGCTTGAAAGCAGAGCCTAAGAACCGAAGCGGCGAAGCCCCATCCTGTGACCTGTGCACCAAAGCGCGCTCGGATCCTGCAAAGCACAAACTCTGAACGGACCGCCGAAATGTGCTTTTGCAGCCTGGAAAAGCAGGTTTTGGAAGGTCCGAACCTCATGCCGCTCGGAGGCAAGGCAAGCGAGGTAACCGCTGCTTTCGTCCCCCTGACTCGCTCGTGCTGGGTTCCACATGAAGAAGCTTGGCTTGGCCTGGCCAGTAGCCGACACCTCGCGTTGGACACGCCAAACTGCTGCCTCCCGCAAAGCGCAAACTCCGAACTGACCTCCAGAACGCACTTTTGCAGGCTCCAAAAGCACGTTTTGGAGGGGTTCCGACGACAGAACAGCCGCAGAATCCAAGAAGGAGAACTGCATGGTGCAGGAATGGGCTTGCAAAACACGCTTTCTTTCCACCGTCCGCGAATAACCAACATCGTTTCGAACGCCTGCGGCGTGAAGCAAAACCGCCGCCCCTATCGAGGTTTGGAGTCGATTGCTTGCTTTCAAATGCTTCAAAACAGGGGCTGAAGACCGACGCAGCGAAGCCGAATCCTGTGGCCCTGCCATCACTTTAACAACTTCGGAGCCAAAAAGCGCGATTTCGAGCGTGCACGCCCAAAGCCGGAAACCACGGCCCTGCCGACGTTTCGTGCACTTTCAAGCCTCCCGAACATAGCAAAGTTACAAGTAACGAACTCCGAATTCATTGGCCCTGCCAATACAAAACGCACCTCCGCGCGTACAAGCGAACGCCCAACCCTTTGCACAAGCGAACGGGCAAATCTTTGCACAAGTGACCGCTCTGCCGGTAGGTGACATCAGTAGCTCCGCGCATTCCTCCATGAACGTACCCTCCAAGCACTAGGGCCGAAGTTTGCGCCCCTCTCGTTTTCCTTTTGGCCTTGCCTCCCAGATGAACATCTCGTAGCACTTCCGCACAGGAATCCCCATCAAACTTGCCCATGTTGTAGTAATGCCTGGCCCTATCTTCTTGCTCCTTAACAAGCGTTCTCATAGTCCAGCCAGAAGGTACCGCATCTGGATTCCCTGCCGTAGGCTTCAACATCCTCATCAACGGTGGTGGCTGCTTCCCCGTTAATCGGTGATCTGGTTCAGGTAGGTCAACGACTGGTACTTCACCCACAGGAATTTCACCAACCCCACCACCATCATCACCGTCACCTTCTTTAGGAGCTGCTAGTAGTGCATGAGGATCAACAACGTCAGTCTTCAAGTTCAGGGTCTCCGTAAGTACACCGCTCGCCCGTAGAACAATCGCACCGCCCTTTATGGAGTCCGACAAACCCAAGTAGGTGCCTTCCTCCCACCGGTCCGTGAGGTCATACTTCTTGTTGTTGCCAAACACTTTTCGTCTGATCATCACTTTGGACCCAAAGGGTAGCAACCTTGGCTTGGATAGTCCAAGTCGCTCATACATTCGGCGGTTAGCTGCATGTTGCATAGCCAGCGTCCAATACTTCAAACCCACCTTTGCCTCCGCCATCAACACCTTGGCCATCGTCTTAAACCAACGAACTCCTCTCTCAGCTGCACCATTGGTCTGCGGCACCAAAGCTTCTGAACGGGTGTGGTAGATATCGTGGCCCAACAGCCATTTTCGCAGCCCCTTAGAAGCGAACTCTGAGCCGCGATCAGAATGTAACCTGGCCACCGGTAGTCCGAACAGTTTCAACCGCAACACAGCTTCTTGTACTGCTAACATTGCATCACCTCCTCGCCTGGCACGAACCGGGTACACCATGTAGATCGTATCCATCTCCACTGGCTTCGTCAGGTCGCCAATAAGCTTTTCCCACGTTTCTTCATCCTTCTTGAGCTCCTCCTCATCCTCGGGAACCTCTGCTGTAGAAATCCGAAACATTGTCCTTCCCGTCCACAGCTTCTCTAACACGCGCGATCCCGATTGTGGACCATGCCAGTCCGACGTCTCCGTGTCCACACCGCCGCTCACATACTTCACCTCCGTCACCCTGGTGTAATCCAGCTTGCTAGGCGGCACCGGACAACCATTCCATGACGTAGGCCTGAACAACGACATGCGAGGAGTAACGTGATGCCGAACAAGGACGCCCGTAGATTCTCGAAACTCCCACCAATCATCTGAAACTTCCTTCTTCTTTGCTGCTTTGGCTGCTGGCGAAACATTACCAACCTGCTCCAGGAGTTCCATAGGACGTTCTCGTTGCACTCGTCGAAGTTCACTTTCCTCTTCGGGTGAAAGTTGAGGGTCTGGGCCTTCATCAGGAGAATAATCACACTCCTCCTCATCAACAGTGTTCTTGCCTAACTCCACTTCCCTTGCATCAAGGTCCCACCCATCCAGCTCATCATCAGGAATGGGTTGGTCTTCTGGAATCAACTTCTGCTTCGGGAACTGGTAAGTGAACACCACTGCATATCTTTCCCCTTTTACACCTGGTACTCTCACTGGCCCCAAAGTATCCGCACTCAACACATAGCAATCCCTGTGAAGACACTTTCGATGAGGTCGTCCTGTTGCATTGTGTATACACTGAAGACAGTCTGGACGATATGGTACATGATCGTTGGCCAAATGCCTTTCCCACGCCCGTCTGTCCACCGCCTTGAGTGCTCGGACTAGTCTGGGATGCCACCCAGGCCTTTGCTTCCACCGTTTGAGCCCCCGCGTCAGCACTCGCACCATCATAGGAGCCCACGAGGACCACGAACCAGCGTGACCTTCATCCGCCCTTGCATCTTGGACACCCTTGAGCTCTGCTACATCCAGGTTGGTTGCCATCGTCGTAGGTCTCCGCATAGGATGTCCTAAACCTCCTTGGTCAAAGTGATGAACATCCATGTGCCTTTCGGCAATCCACCTCCGAAACCACTTGAAAACCCACGCCAACGAGGACTCATCCTGCTCCGACTCAGAAGACGCCCACAATGAGAAAGCAACGCCATCCAAGGGAACATCCACCTCAGCACACATAGCCGCTCTCCCCGCTGTAGCCACCTCACTAAGTACCACCGCCCTCAGCGTGTGCTCCAGAGCGTTGTGCCTTGGTAAACCCGACAGGACTGCCGCCACTCTTCCCGTAGCCGCACCCCAAAGTAGTAGCTTCATCACGCTGTGGCCCGCCTTAAGGATGTCCAACAGAGGAAGCCGCTGTACATCAATATCCAAAACAACCGTTCCGTTGCTCTCCACCGCCTTGAACACCTTGTCCACTGACGAACGACGACCGCTGCACATCTTCACCACCCAGTCCTTGCTCATCAGTCGCTTCCGCATCCTCCTGTTGAAACCCAACATTTGCATGAGCTCCCAGGCCTCCTTCTCACCTGTGGGAAGATCCGTGATGATCCTCGCCAAGTCCTCGCGCAGCTCTTCTGTTGCCCAGGGCGCAGCCGCCATCGCGCGGAAGCCATCTTCGAACTTTCCCTTGGCAACATACTCCCGAACGCTCTTTTCCCAGCATGGATCAAGCTCAACCTCACGAGCCCTCAGCATGGCCTGCTTCGTGTTCTCCACGTTCTCCGAAAGTTGAGCTAACTTCTCCTGCTCAATCTTCGCGATCAACTCAAGCGCCGTTGCTTCGCTTACCTCAGGGCAGCCCGACGAAACCTTCAACGCCAACTCCTTCCCATCGGGAGCTCTCAGAACGCACTTCTTCTTGGTCCACACTAGCTCGTAGCCCAGCACAGCCACCAAGCTTCCAACCGGCAATATAGTTTGCGCTCTAGTAGTCGCCGGTTCCATAAGCAACGTGCCCGTGTCGTTCTGGCGCATCCGCTTCACACCGTCCCCCGCCACCACCACGTCGACTTCGCCTGCAACACCCCATTCTTCTGAAGATGCCGTCCTCAACGGGTGCGTAGCTCCCGAATCAACCAAAGCCATCTTGCCCTCATAGTCCTTGATCACTTTCTTCAGCATCTTCATAGAGGGTCCCGGTCTACTGCCCACATGTTGCTCCGTCATCAACTTCAGCACCTGGGTAGCGTTCCGTAGGAAATCATCTACATCCCGAGCTCCCGCCGGAGCTTCTCCGGTTACTCCAGCCGCCGACGAACCAGCCGTAGAGCTCGAGTCCATTGACGCCCCCGTAGATGCCGAACCCGATGAAGCTGCTCCCGGTCCTCCCGTAGTCGCCGTAGTCGAAGCTGTAGTCGTAGGAACGGTTCCATCATCGCGCTTTCCGTCAGATCCCTTCCCCAGTGGTCGTAGTCGAGGAGGTTGTCCTCCCTTGCCCTCATCCCGCCGTGGAGGGTCCCCGGTACCTGTACGAAGCGGACAGCTCTTTTTCATATGGCCCTTAGCTCCGCAGTTCCTGCATCGTTCATGCCGTTCTTCACGCGGTATGCTGGCCCATTCGTGCCCAAACTTGCAATTGGCCCTCTGACAACCCGACTCCGAGATGAAGAACTTGCATGGCTTGGTTGTGGTAGTAGTAGATGAAGACGCCGGAGAGGAAGCACCTTTACCAGGGCTAGCGTTGCCACCATCATTTCCCCCAGCGCCCACAGCTCGCACGGCAGGTGCCGTACTGGTAGTGCCCTTAGAGCGCCCCCGGTATGCTATCTGCTCAAACTCGCCAAGCAAATGGGACTGATACTTCATCACAGACGGAAGGCTAGGAGCTGAGTCCAATTCCAAACCATAGCGCAGCATGTTGGTCCGGAAAGCCACTTCACCATGCCGTTCCAGCTGGGCCTTCGAAGCTTGGTCCAAACCCCGCAACAAGATCGAGGGGTCAGGAACTTGCAACCCCAGGTCCTGGGCCCGCTTTAGCCATCGTGCCCACCTTCGAAGAGCCTCGACGAGCTCCATGGGTGTAGACGCCGAACCGGGCTGCTCTAAGGCCTTCAAGACTTGCTGCCTTTCCACAGACGAACCCGGCCTGTATATCGTCAGTATCCTCGCCAAGATTGAAAGCGTCGTCTGCAACCTGTTGGCCAAGACCTCGGTGCGTATGGCTTCTGGGATCGATTGCAAGAGCATAGACGCTGCTCTTTTGTCCACCCGCAACCACTTGGCCTCCTTGAGCGTAGCATTGGCGTAGTCATCCGCGCGTAGCTGCAACTTCTTCACAGCTGACGCATTGACATAGTCCTTGTAGTACGCTTCCAAACACATGAGAACTTGTGACCACCACGTAGCGCTCCCATCCGTAAGATCGCCCATGGGCCCGCTCAGGCCATGCAACCAATCCCCGACGTTGATCGCTGCCATCTCGTCCGCCTCGCTAAGCTTAGGCAACTCCGAAGCTGTGGTTCCCGGCCTTATCGTCTCTGGTTTGGCCGCGTTCATTCCCATCTGCATCGCCATAGCCGCCTGCAACTGCGTCATCCCTTGCACAAGTGCCTCAAGCGGGTTGCCCGCCCCGCCAACGGAAGGACCAGGCTGATCACCTGGTGCTCCACCTCCTGGAACGCCTTGATGCTCACCAGAAAGACCTGGAGGAGGACCACTGTAGATGCCCGGCACATTCTCATAAGGACCACTGTAGATGCCCGGCTTATCACTAAAAACACGACCCCCTTGCTCGCGACTGTGTCCCGGAAGTCCTGCAAGATTGCCTCCGAAAACACTATCACTCTGAAAACCAGCACTCCGTTCTTTACCCGCAGCACCTTGACTTGTTGATGCCGTAGGTCCCGGTCGAACTTCATGCCCCTCCGATTTCCCGTAGAAACCCGCAAAGCCCAGTAGATTTGACCTTGGTGGAATTTGACTCCTTGCTCTCCCAACACCCCCTTGCTCACGACTGTGTCCCGGAAGTCCTGAAAGATTGCCTCCGAGCACTCCACGGTTGCTTGAGGACTGATCACCCCAACGACCGTCACGCCTCGGAAGTCCTTCAGGATTGCCGCCTGGTACATTAAGAGCTTGAGGTTCAGGAGCATGTTCCCGCGCTTGTCGGCTCTCATGTCCTAAAAGTCCTGGTGGATTCCCTCGGGATACTCCATGAGTGCTCAAGGCCCGATCACCGCCCTGCCCTCCATCATGTTCCCAAAGTACACCTGGATTGCCCCTAGGATCAGAAACCCGTTCCACATTCTCGTTTGCACCCCCTTGCTCACGACTGTGTCCAGGAAGTCCTGTAAGATTGCCTTCGAGACGCTGGTTGATATACTCTACCTGCTCCTGAACATAAACATCGCGTAGACGAGGTGCTTCATTGGGCCCCGGCATCATTGTCCCGCTCGAGACACCCTGCGCCGCCATAGCCCTCAATCTCTCCACTTCAAGCCGAAGGCGCTGGTTCTCTTCACTCACGCTCCTCTGCTCCTCCATCGCCTGTTCGACTTGTCTTCTCACTTCGGTCTCTAACTGCTCCTTGGTAAACGACCTCGACGAGTCCGAACCTCCGCCCGACCGCTGCACGGTCCCATACAGCTGAGGAGCTGCCAAAGCCATGTCCCTCAACCTTCTGCTCTGCGAACGATCAAACAATGGCTCAGTCTCCGTCCGAGTCCCGTGACCTGGCGACCACACTGTCTCCTGGACCACTGTCGTCTGCTCGCCTGGCCGCGTCTGCTGCGCGACTCGGCGCTGCACGAAGTCGCCCAGCTTAGACAACCACTTCATCGCCGCAGCACCTTGCTGTGCTATCACATTTCCAGAGGTCGTTGGTACTTGTTCATCTCCATTGATAGACCTGGTAGCAGGTGAAGGCAACGGCGAAGGCCACATAAAACCGAAATCTGATCCAGTAGTGGCCGCTGCCCGGCTTCCTCCTCTAAACAACAGTCCATCACTTCTCTCACGACCTCCTTGCTCGCAAGGTCCCACGGCCTCAGGCCTATTGCTGGCCGTCAATACTCCCTCCAGACCACCATGCGTTCCAGCACTGCTCGCTCCGATGTCAGCATCGCCGCCTTCTCGAAGTCTTCCAGCAACACCAGAAAAACCATGCGTCGTCGGCGTGCCTTGTCCGGTTACGCCCGTCGCGCCGATTCCGGTAGCCCTTAAGGCTCGATCGTAGTCAGGTTCCGTTGCAGGGATCTCTCTGGCCGCCCGGTCCACGCCGTTTGGCCTGCGATCATCGTCTGTGTGAGGTCCGATCACCCGCGCAGTCCCGCCACTTGGGCTCATCACCTGCTGATAGCCAGCAGGGAGATCATTGAACGGCCCTTGTTCGTTAGGCCCTAAGGCCTCAGGTGCAGGCTCTTCCATGAGTCCCAAAGACACCTATCGAATTGAAATCGCACACTGTTTTTCCCTTGAGCCACGTGTTATCGAGCGTATTGTACATTGATGCTCACGCACACAGCTTCTGCGACATCGGAAGATCAAACTCTCAGCAGGTTTTGGGTTAAGGGTTTAGGGTTTAAGGGTCCTAACAAATTGGGGAACCTCGAAATTGAGGGTTTCTGAGACCCAAGAGGCCCAAGGACTCTCCCTAGGCAATTCCGGACCCTCCTAAGGAGATACCTGGACCCTTCGGGCAGTAGGGAATGGGGAAAGGGATTATTCAGATGATTATTGGGGATTATAGAACAGGATCCCCCATTCCCTACAAAGCACCACCAGACAGCCAGGGGCTTGTGAGGGTGCTGCGGTTTAGGGGTTTAGAGGCATAAGGACTTGCTATGGAGAGGCTTTGCCAGGGGCTTGTTGGTGGCATGAGAGTTTTCAGGCTACCGGTTCAGGGGTTTAGGGGATTGGGGTGCGCGCGAAGCAAGCGATTGTAGGGCTGCCAGGGTTTGAGGCCTCAGTAGTGTGTCCCATGCTCTCTTCTTCAACAACCGAGCCCCAAAAAGTTAAAACTTTTTAAGATAGAGCTAATATATAAGGCCAAAAAGTTTAAAGTTCCCCGTTCACTATCTAAGTATGCACAGTTAGGACTTATAGGCATCGCGTAACTCCCGAGCAGCACGCCTGAAACTCTAGCTCCGTTACTAACCTAAGCCTGACTTGCTCTGACTTACTCAGTTCCCGAAACACTAAACCCTAAAGCCCTAAAGCCCTAAACCCTAATAAACCCCTAAACCCTAAACCCTGAACCCCTAAACCCTAAACCCTAAACCCCTAAACCCTAAACCCTAAACCCCTAAACCCTAAACCCCTAAACCCTAAACCCCCGACCCCTAAGGCCCTTGGGAGCAAACGTGCCGGAGAGTGTAGGGCCGTGGGGAACGCGAAGATCCAAAACCAGTCGCTGACGAGTGTTCGACCGGATGTTCATCGCCACGTAAACCCTAAAAAAAAAACCTCTAAACCCCTAAACCCTTAAACCCTCAACCCCTAAACCTCAAACCCTAAAACCTGACGTAAACACCAGCAGCGGTGTCGGTGGTAAGCCAGGCTTGGCGCATGGCCCCATGCCCAGCTCCACCGCAATCTCGCAAGCGATGAGATGAGGGACATCGTGGTACAGTGAACCCCTTAAGGGTCTATAGGGTTCTTTTAAGGGATCTAGAAGGGTTCCTTAAGGGCCCCTTTTAATGCCTTTAGGGTTTAGAGTTTAGGGTTCAGGGTTCCTTTACAGTGAACCCCAGAAAGTTGGAACATGGAATTAGGATGATTAGTGCTAGGATTCCCCATACTTTACCTTAAGGGCATGAGGATAATGATAATGATGTTCCATCTTTCTGGCTTCTACTGTACGGAAAGAAGTTCACGCCTGCATAGTTTGTTGATATCTTCCGAGGTGGGGGCAGGTTTAGAGGTTTAGGGTTAGGGTTTAGGGTTTAGGGGAACCCTACCGGAAGCTCTTTATCTTCCTGCTTGCTTTGCATGTCGTACACTCAACATGCAGCTTGTCTGCTAAGATTCGACCGGAGTGAGCCTGCGCTCTGAGCACCTCTGCTCATATCTACATATGACAAGGGCGGCCCAGAGCCGATCCTGCCAGCAGTCATGCGTCTTTCGCACTCTTGTTTAACCCATACAGCTTGGCGCATGATGCAGCCATGTTCTTGCCCATCTGGTCATAGTGGGTTGCAGATGCAACCAGGCCGATTGTCTGGCCGGCCATCCCCAAAACATAATCAGCTTCTGTGCATTGAGGTCTAATATGGGCGGCCCACAAAAAGGGAGCATGCGTGCCTTGTGCGGGTAATGCGGGTTTAATAAAGGGCACTGTAAGGGATGTTATTGAGGGAGGTGATGTTTATTGAGGGGGGGTGGATGTGATAAGTCCTTCATCACGAGCGTATAGGGGTTTGGGGCATATTGCAGTATAAGTTTCACTATCTTCAGGAACTATCAAGACAGGCATTACACACTTCTCCGGCCACTACAGTATGTACCTTAGACTGAAATCACATGCCATCACTTAAGGGCTTTGTGGGCTACTCCTTCTATGGAAACGGCGATCTCCCAAAACCCTGAACTTCCCCTACCCACGGAAGCCCCGCAAAGAATCTCTCTCTTTGCGGGTGCGCACCAGCGACTGGCGGCCGCGGCAGAGGCATCTAGTGCGAAGGCATCCTCGCACTTGCAACTAGCGGGGCTTTGTCGTCCCTTCCTCTTTGTTTAGGGTCTAAGGCTTGTGGCTTAGTTTTGGGTTGCTTAGCGCTGTTTCACCACGTCGGGTTGTTCGTGATTAAGACCCAGTTTCCTTGCCATGTTGAACAATTGCCGCTTGATGTCTCTGTTGATATGTCATTGCGATTTTAGAGAACCGTTGGCGCAGTGGTTCTCTAGGGATACATGTGCGATACCCGTATATTCTGTTTTAACGTCTTATGACTGGCGCTATACAGAAAAGCACGTAGCCCTCTTGCCATCCTGATGTATCCTAGGTTCCTGGGTAGCACGTTTATAGTAAGGGTGCCCCATTTTCCTACTATTCTGCTTTTATCAGGACACCCCCACAACAAAAAGGGCAAAAGGGTACTACTCAGGAACCTAGTCATCCTCAGAAAATCCACTGAGAAAGCTTGTCCGTTTTGTTTGGGCCTGGCGGGCTTCGGTGGTTTAGGAGTTGAACACCAAACCCTGTACACCCTGGAGGAGTTCAGGGTTTCGGGGTTTATCAGACCCCAAACCCCTAAATCCTACACTTACACCCCAAACCCCCGAAACCCTACACTTACACCCTGAACCCCTAAACCCTGAACCCTACTGTTCGGGTACTTGGGCCCTCTTCTGAATCGAGATCAGGCTCTACTAAGAGGATAGAAGAGGTGTAGGGCTGCGGGGTTACGGTTTTACGGTCTAGAGCTCATACAAGGCTCAGTGATAAGAACTCAACATGTCAGGCTTTTTGGGGCTTAGAGCTTTGAGTTGAGGGTTGAGGGCTTAGAGTGCAGGGGTGGCAGGGCTTAGGGTCGAGGGCTCTGACTATAGGGTGTAGCTCTCCGACCCTGAATGCTGCTGCTAGCGCTCCCGCTGGTTGCTTCCGCTGCGCCAGCCGCTGCTGCACCGGAGGAGGCGTACCTGCGAAGGGATTCGTTGGGCTCTTCTGGGCTTGAGTACGTATGCTTGAGCCACATTGCGCTGTAGCACAGGTCATGTTCGAAACCCGCCAAAACGGTCACGTTCGAAACGACCGAAACGACATCTGGAAAATTCCTCACTATTCTGGTACGATGACAGCATCAGAGTCCAGCCCAGGATCAGGTCCATAAGCCGCATTTCTGAGGCTTATCATGGCATGTGGGCGGGTGTTACATATATAGTTGTATAAGGAACTCTAAGAAGGCATATATGGATAGGACCTGAACCACCCCTAGCACGAGACAACGTGATCTCCCATATCAACCCTAAAACTCAAAACCTAAACCCTAAACCCGCAAACCCTAAACCCCTAAACCCTAAAGCCCTAAACCCTAAACCCATAAACCCTAAACCCTTACATACGCCCTAAACCCTAAACCCTTACATAAACCCGAAACCCATATCTGGGACCCTGATCTCTAACCGTGGCAACATACCCGTACTTGCCCAGTATTATCCTGGGGAAAAGTATCTAAAGTAATTAACCAAAGGCTTACCTTTGGAAGTATTTGGGATTATAAGAGATGGGAAAAGTATCTAAAGTAATTAATTAAAGGTTTACCTTTGGGAGTATATTGGGATTATGTTAAGAGGAGTTGTAGTACCAAAAGAAGGTTAAAGCGCGACGTGAGATAAGCTGCGTCTAGAGCGCAAGGCGTGAGACGAGCTTCGCCCAAACAAGGTTAAAGGCTACCTGGTCTACTGCCCTAAAGCTGCAGCGTCTTCCGCCCGCAGGGCACGCGAGTGCGGGTGCCATGGTAGTTGAAGATGACGGGGTAGAAAGATCGCCTGAATTTCTGGGTTTGGGGTTTGGGCTGTAGGCTTTCGGTGCTTTTGGTTCAGAGCTTGAAACATAGGGGTCTTAATAAGTAGACATATCGTATACTTATGACCAGAAAACCTAATGGATAATATTGATAATTATTCAGGCTTGTAGAATAGATTTCTTGGTTTAAGGCCTTAGGCTTTCGAGTTCCCCTTCACCAAATGCCTCTGTCGCAGCCCACTCCAAGAAAGTGTCCAGGTTTGATGAATCATGCCCTTCCGTCGGGACTCCCGATTTTCGGGAAGCCATCCTCAACACTAGTAGGATGCCCAGTAACCTAGGAATAAAAAGGGCTCCCTTTTTTGGCATTGGATAAGTTTATATTTATAAGGAACCTAGGACCACAAAAAGGGAATAGGGTACTACCTGGCATCCTCAACATTAGGGTCGCTTGTAAAGTACGGGCTCCTTCCATGGAAGACCGTACAGCTTCATGTAGCTGGTTTAGGGTTTAGGATTCAAGTGCGACCATATTGGAACGCCTAATTTCGGGTTTCTTAGGGTCCCTGGGCTTTGAAGTAACCAGGGAGAAAAAGTATAGACTTGCATTTCATAATTGGTTCCCGTTAAGTACCAAGTCCCAAAACATTATTGAAGGATGGTACTCCAAAGCTTCAAGTAGAAATTAGAGTCCTTTCATTTCTGACCTCTCGCTGACCCTAAACACCAGAAAATATTGACTTTGCTTTAAAATATAGAAGTCTTAAACGATTACATATATATATATGTATATGCGTATGTATACATATATATATATATATATACACTGTATATAGATATACAAACGGTTTGGTGTCCGGGTCCCGGTCCCTAGCCCTAAACTCTAAACCCTTAACCCTATGCCCTAAACCCTAAACCCCTAAACCCCTAAACCCTACTCCCCTAAACCCCTGAACCCTAAACC